ACCTTCCCTCCCTTGGGATCTCATCCAGCACCATGATTTCATCCATCACTGTGTGCCGATGCTACCCAGATATGAATCTCCGGCCCAGACCTCTCTTCTGAGCTTGTCTCATATAAAAATGCCTATTGACCCTCTCCACCTAGACTTTGCCCAGGCATTTCAAACTTGCCTTCTCAAAGCCAAACTCTGTATCTTCCCCCTCAATTTGATCCTTCTTCAAGCTTTACCACTACTAAAGTGGTAAAAGAAGGGCTCCTGACTCCTTCATACTCGAGACGAAAACCTAGATGTTCTTGCCATTGCCTTAGCACACATCCACATCCACTCTTTCATCCGTTTTTTCTCCACCTCCCCAAACCACCACCCCGAGTCATCATCACTTTGTAGCTAGAAAGCTGCAATAACCTTCGAACTGGTCCCCCCACACCTGTTCCCAAGTGTCCTCCAAGCCATGCAACCAGGGTAGCCTTTCAGAAATCCAAATTTGTTATCACTCCTTTGATGAAAATGGCTTATTACTCTCCAAGATAAAATCCAAATTCATTTGGTAGCGCTACCTGCACTACTCCTTGCTCACCCCCACCCTGGCTCCTTCCCACCTCATCTGGGACAAGTGGTTCTTTCTGCCTATAACATTTCCCCACTCACTCTTGCCCTGCACAACTCCTAATTGTCCTTAGTTTCTCAATCTGAATGTCAGCTTCTCAAGGAGTATCCACACTCACCCCTTACCCCATTCATTTTTCATAGCCCTCCTTACGTTCTCCCACTACACTTCCCATGCTGCATAATTATATATTGATTTGATTAATATTAACCGTCATTATTTGCTGACTCTCGTTCCTCCGCCCCTTCACTTTCCCCCACTAGACTGGCAGAGGCTTGCCACCCTCTCCACCCTCCTGCCTTTAGCGCTGCACTTACAGATAGTAAGCGTTCAAGGAAGGCGCTTAATGAGCTAATAAAGGAATCCCGACTCATTCAATCCCCATAACAACTCTATGAGGTAAGCATTTCATCAGACCTAAGGAAGCTGAGAGTCGGGGTGGGCGAGTTGCCCAAGGTACAGGGAAAGGGGAGGAGTCAGGTCCTAAGTCCTGAACCCGATTTTTCCGTTCCTGAACTTTGGCCCCTTTGTGAAAGGGCCAGGGAGAGGGTGGACTTTGAGCCACGAGGTTTGCCACGGATGACACAGGTGATCCACGCAGGGAACCGGAATCAAGAGCTCATCTATGAAGACTAAGGTACGCCCCCTCGGCGCTCAATGAGTAAGGATCACAATCTGCTGCATATGCATGAGGGGACCATGAGACCGTGACTCGGGACTACCCGAGATGCGCCTGATTAAAAATTCTTCGGGCTTGAAGACTTGAGAGCCCCCTCATTTCCTCACAGATACAGAGAAAGTTTTCAAAGGCTCATCTGAGGCGAACATTGTGGGGATATCGGGCGAAGACGACCTAACTTGGAGCTTGTGATCAGGCGTCTTCTGGAGGCAGCCCAATGCCAGGAGGGGTCCTCGGTCTGCTCCACTAGAAGACGAAGGGGGCGTCTCCCCGGCTTCCTGCGGCGTCGGTGGCGAGCTGAGGTGGAGGCAGGCTGCGGCAGCGAAGGCGACAGTGGCGGCGGCGCCATGGCAGGGCTTGCAGGTACCGTGGCGTCGGCCCCCTGGGGACGGGATGAGAGGCCCTCAGTGCGGCGGCGCCGCCATGTTGTCCCTTCGGGGTCACCTTAAGGCGTCGCCCGGTCCCTTTCTGGGGTTTTCCTTCCCCGCACCCAGGGGGCCACCCCTGTCCGGTGTCACGTGATTGCCCTGTGTGGCCCCAGCCCGGACCTTGGGGGTCCTTCCGCGGCCCGAGGGCGAGTCACCAGACCCCTGGGTCTCGTTCTGGCCTCCAAGGTCAGTGCTCGCCTGTCTGTTCCCGGGACGGGACAGGCAGAGTCGGGGAGCGCAGGGCCGAGGGGCGCGACTACCACCTCTTCGGCCCAGGGGCCCATAGCAGGGGGCCCAGCTTCTGAGAGTCCTATTACTCTGTCCCCGCCACTTCAGTAGCATTTTTAAAATCAGAAGGGGTTGTGGGTGAGAGGGGCGAAAGGGGGCCTCCCGCCCCAGGCACCCGCTTTGGTGTCTAAGGTGATGGGGTAATAGGTTGACGCTCTGCTTTGAGTCGCGGGTGTTTCTTACTCTCTCATAACTTTACATCAAGCCTGGACACCCGTTTCCTTTCCCCCAGTATATATGGGGAGTGGCCCTCAAGGGCAGCTGGAGGAACGGAATGCCTGGCACACCAGTGGCCTAGAAAGAATGGGGGATGGGGAACAGTTCTTTTTCCTTACCCCTTCCAAACCTTCTGTATATTCCTTCCAGGCCTCCGTGTCCCTTTTCAATGCTAAATGTTGGGACAGACTGGGGTCTGTCCTAGGGAGGAAATGATCTTTCTGTTTATAGGTTCGGATCGTGTTTTATCCCTTTCAGGGAGCTGGTGTGCTGGGAACAGCTTCTGTTTGCCCTGCCCGACATGGTCCCACCATCCCCTCAGCCTTCTGGACAGCAACACCAAAGCCAGGACAAAAAAAAAAAAAAAGTTCCAGCTTAAGTGCTAATGCCAAGTGTTAGATCTTGTTTGTTTGTTTGTTTCAAATCAGAGACTACTGTCAAGCAAATCTGTTAAAAGATTCAGAGCCCTGGTCAGTTTCCTGTGACCAGATCAATTCCGGATCTGTAATTGGTCTTGTTAGAATTGCTGCCCAAAACAGTGTAGCCTTTTATCTGTAATATGTTGTTTCAAAGAGGAATCTGGAAGTCTGGGTTTGGCTGTCTTTTTTTGTTCTCTTATCTTTGAAACATATGCATTCCATTTCAAGCCTGTCACTGTGTGCTATACCAAGGACCATGTGTTGCCTGCCTCTTTGACTTCCTGTTATGGGAATGCTGAGGAATCTGGATCCTGCTGGGGTATGGGCCCTGTTGGGAGGGAGAAGAGGTGGAGGGGAGGGTGAACAGGATCATTCCCAGAGAAGATGGTGACATGTCTCTGGGGCATACAGAGGAAGTCAGAGATCACCAGGGAAAAAGAGACTGTTGTTAGACTAATGTTTTTTGTGTTGTGTGCGCGTTTGTGCACGTTTAAATCTCTGGGGGTAAAACTAACTGCAGATTCAGAATCTCACTTTAGGGTGCTGGCTCCTGAGTAGATACAAGTTTGAAAATAGATACGTAGCAAATGGCTCACAGCAAACCTGCTCCCTCATCCAATGCAGGTGTAAAAAGCTGTCGCTGTCCTGCAGCTGAAGCTTAAGAAGCTTGTCCCCCCACCTCTTCCTTCCGTCACAATCCAAATACTCCACAGATAGAGATAGCAGTGTCACATAGCACCCCACACCTCTGAAAGTCATGGTACCTAGCCCCCCCCACCCCCCCTTGGAGCTTAACTGGTTAGGCTGAGACACTAACATCCTTCTTGGGGCATTAGTGCCAAGAGTCTTGCCTTTCCAAAGCCATTCCAATCCCCTCACAACTCATCTGCTATATCCTTGGTTTTACAGGGGCAAAGCCTTTTGGGGGTGGTAGAGACAGTTTAGGAAAAAGGGAGGCCTGTGGACTAAGGGCTTACAATAAAATTCTAGTCATTTTTAACTTCTGCCATTGCTCTCTATCAGAATAAAATGTTTTAATGGTATTGCTTCTGGAAAAATTTTTATAAACAAGGTGTGTTTGGACCAGACTTCTAGGCACCACACAGGAATAGAAAGTGGACGCATTCCTTCTGCCTTCTCCAGTGGGTTGTTTGCTGCCAGAACATGAGGGTTTGGGCATGAAGGATGAAAGTGGGGGAGTGGACACTGCACACTCAAGCCCACCCATGTGAATGCAGGCCACCAGGACAGCCCTTGCTTGGAAGTCTGTCATCTCACCATGCCACTTTGATGGATGGATGGAGAAGCCCCACAGATGGGCTTTGCCAAGATTATCTGGAAAGCCCTGGGGCTGCCAGCAGCCTCCTGCCTTTTAAAGGGGGTACAGGAAACTAAGGGGAGCATGCTCTGTCCAGAACAGCCAGACCCTTCCATGCCTGTCTGTCTGAACTCAGCTACCTTATAACTGGGCTGAGGTTAGAGCATGTGGGACAGTGGGGCTGTGGGCATACCCCTGAAGGCTCCGAGGTGAGGCAGTCTTCATTGAGAACACATGTGGAAATGTTCACGGTTCTGTGGGCTTAGTGTGGAAAACCACAGCAACTCCCAGTCTTGAGGCCTGCCATGAAATGGCTTCAGAAGGGAAGTGTGGGCATTGCCTGCTGATGAGTCACCCTGGGGCAAGAGGAGACCCACCTCACCTTCAGGCCAAAGTAGAAGCTGGAGCCACCCAGCATAAGGAAGATGGGAGTCTCTGATTACACATCCCCACCCCAGTCCCCATGGGTCCTGATGGCCACTTTGATGGCAGAGTGTTTCTAGTATCCTGGAGTTCACTGGGGTCTTAGCACTTTTATAGAGGGGAACTGAAGGTGGGGGGTAGGAGATGACCTAGCCAGTTTCCCTGGGCTGATTGATGACAAAGCCCAGTACCAGAACTGAGGTCTGTACCCTCTACCCCCATAATTCTCTGATGTTGTACTAAAGATATAGGCGCCTCTAGAGGCGCTGGCAGTGGGGTTTAGAAACTTAAGGGGTTGCTTAGAGGAGGGGAAGTATCAGGCTCAGGGGGCAAGGTGCTTTGTGCTCCAGAAGTGTTTGCAGCAACTGTGACTAAGGGATTTGAGGAAGTGGCAGAGAGATTTATGGCCCTCCAAATCCTCCCTTGGTGTTGACCCAGGAACAGGTGTGTAGTGACAGGGACACATTAAGCCAGAGACGAGCCTGAACAGGCGGCAGGGCCATTTGGTGAGGCAGTCAGCTAACCCTGTGAAAGGAGTCCTGACTCAAGAGAGTGAAAGAGGGGAGAAAGAAGTCAGGAGCTGAATAGCCAGCCCACCCGCCCACCTACCCTGACATGGCAGGAGAGAGCCCAGGGCCAGGGACCTGGTAAGCACCCCTAAGAATATTGAGGCTAATGCCAGAAGTGGAGAACCCACTAATGGGGAGAGCTAGAGAGAGGTTCCTGGGTGTCAGGGAGGAGACCTGGAGAGTAGTAAGGCAGGGCAGAATGCCCTTGTCGTGGTCCTGGTAGGGGTTATAGGGCCTGGAGGGATAAGCTGGGCAGGGGAGGCACCACACCACACCTCTTATCCGATACTCATTATCAGCCAGTGCCCACCCTGCCCAGTGCTCATTTCCTTGGGGCTCCTAGATGGAGCTAAAGCTCTGTGTTCTGAAGTCCTGAATCACTTCCTTGGTCTATAGTACCCCATCGTGAGGGTTATTCCCACCTTTCTTACCTCCTCCCATCTTTCCTGCCAAGGTCCCGTGTTCCAGGACAAGTGAAGGCATCCACCCGCTCTGGGGAGGGTAAGTGGTCTTTTATTCTGAGACCACAAAAGATGTAGACGTTTCTTTTTGGGGTGGGGAAGCGTTCCTTTATCTCTCAGAACAGTGTTAAGTGAAGATGGAACTGGGTGTGTGAGGGTCCCAGCTTATTCCCCCTTTGTTCCCCCACCCCAACAATGGTGCACCAGCCCAGTCTTAAGAAGTATGTGTTGAAGCCGCAAATGAAGTCACAAGAGACAGCTTTTTGGTGCACCTCCACCACCCCGCAGGGTCCTGGGACACGGTGCGAGATGGGGGAGGTACTGGTTTTTTATTTTTTTGTAGAGGTGGTCCCTGTCCTCCAGGAGCTTACAATCTAGCTGGGGAGACACAACTAATGCACACTTATACAATCAGTACAATTAGCGATTACCACAATATTGACCACAACTGCGTGAGACCAGGGAAAGCAAGATCAGTGAGGGGCTGGGGGCTTGGAGAAGGTGTTTTAGTGAAGATGGGATCATTTACTGGTTGAATAGGTCCAAATTGAGTGACATTTCTTTGGGGTGGGCTCAGGAGGCCGTGGGGGGGGGAGGGAATTGAGGGAGCAAAGGCAGCAAGGCTGGAATGCATGAGTTGTTGGCGAGGGACAGTGAGCGGGCCCCACTCTGTTTCTTACCCCTCCTCCCTCACTCTCGCCCTCAAGTCCCGCCACAGAGGCACGCAGCTGGTGCCTTGTCTGCTGCATCGGGGTTCAGGGCTTCGGCTGGTGATGCTGGAATGTCCATTCTGCTGGCTGGTGCGGTTGTCAGGATCTCTGTGGTGGGGCCTGTTGGCATGGCCGTGGCTGCAGGGCTGGGATGGCACTGTCCCGACTTGGTCCAGATCAGAATGCATTGCCTGTGCCCAGATCTCAGGGGTATGCTCCCCCCACCCCCCCTCCTCCCTCTACCCCGCCCAGCAGTTGGAGGGGTGCAAAGGGGTTTGGAAGGGATCTGGTATTGTCGTCATTGTCGGTGCTGCTTCTCCGGGGGCCTACCGGCCCCTCACTGACCTTGGCAAATGCTCCTCTGGCGAGAGAGCACAGGGGACCCCCCATTCCTGCGCGGCACTGGCTCCCATGCTGGCCGAGAAGCACAGGAGCACCTGGTGACAAGGCCGCCCAGGGCTGGGGGCTGGGGCCTCAGTTGGGGGCTCGCTGCCGGCGCTCTCCCAGCACCTGCCGCCCGGTCCTCGACACCGTGTACGCCAGCTTCTGCAGGGAGTACCTGAACACCTGCAGCGAGAGACCCGGGACCTGCCCTTAGAGGCAGGCACCCGCAGCGAGTCTGCAGCGCTGCCGTGCCCGCCCCCACCCCACCCCCTGCCCCGCCTGCCGGTCGGACTTAGAGAGGCAGGCGCGGGCGCAGCTTGTCCACGAGTCAGGGCAGCTGGAGCTTTTCCAACTGTGCTGAAGGCTGCATGGCAGCAAGCTGATTGGACCCACAACTTAGGTATACCTCACTTCTCGCAATGGGCTGTGTCCCTGGAGGATTTCGAAAAGCGAATCCTACCCAGTAAATGCAGCATTCCAGGAACACCTTGAAGGAAATATGCGATTCCTTTGGCAAAGGATTCCTTTAGCAGGGAATTCTTCCTGCAAGGGGTGCTTTTAGGGCAAATGATCTCATGGGCAAAGTGCTTTCTTCTGATTTATTTTTACAAAGCACTCTGTCTCTATTTGATTTTTTTTAACAAAGCGAATTGTCAAAATTGGAAGCGCTTTTTTTCTCTCCCATTTTTCCTGCAAAGAACCTTCTCTAATTGTTTGCTTCAAAGCGCTTTTTATCCGATTCATTTTTTTTCTTTTAGCTCCTTTGTCTAATTTTTTCTGCAATGCGCTTTTTATCTAATGCATTTTTTTCTGCCAAGTGCTTTTGCCTGATTTATTTTTCCTGCAATGCGCATTTTCTCTAATTCATTTTTTTTCCCGCAAATTACTTTTCTCTTAATTCGTTGTGGGTTTTTATGAAGTGCTTTTTTTTTCCTGAGAAGTGCCTTTTTCTAACTTATTTTTGGTTCCACCTTCGCAAGCGCTATATATATATATATATATATATATATATTGTTTTAAAGAAATTTCCCCGCAATGCGCAGTTTTTTAAGGCAGAAAATTTTGCTATGCGAGCGTAAAGTCTCTTCGCAAAACAGAAGTGCCCCGCCTCCCTCCTGGGGTAGAGTCTGGGGTGTAGCGGGTTTTTCTTACCGCGTTGGTCGCTAAGAGCCTCGGCGATCGTCAGCGGCTGGCGCCCGCCGCGCCCCAACTCTTTGTTCCCGGCTGGGCGCGGGCGCACTGGGAAGGGTCTGCGCGAGGAGGAGGGCGCAGGGAACGCGCGGGGGCACGCGGTGCCGACCGCGGCACTCGGGCAAGCAGGGATCGCGGCAATAAGGATAGGAAGGGTCTGGGAGGCGGCAATTGCGACGTGGGCCTGCCGGTTAAGGGGGCGCGCATTGGGACCCCTCGCCCACCCGGAACCTGGGCACACTTACCTGCAGCAGCACGCGGAAAATGTACCAGCCGATGATGAGCAGCTCAGCTGAGGCTGCCGCCACTGCCGCCATGGTTCCAAGAGTGGTGGGTGAGTGGTTGAGAGCGTGCGTGGTTCGGCAAGGTCCGCCGATCTCTCGGAGTCCGCTGTTGGGCGCACTGCCGCAGCCGCGGTGGCCGCGCCTTAAGTATCCGCCCGCCAGCCAAGTGCGCATGCGCGTTTGGGGGTGTCCATTGAGGAGGGGTGGCCGGGGGCGCTCCTCATTCGCCAGCAGAGGAAAAAATAATCCATCTGCTCTTTCCACACCGACCCCCGCCTCCTGAGTTCCATCTTAGCCCCTTTCCAGAAGATTCCGCTGTGCCCGCTTTTGAATTTTAGTGTAAAATGGAGGGGAACTGCAACTCTTGAGTAGAGCAAAGGGCTGGAGTAGGGGGTGCACGCCTTTTGGCACGGAACTCCTCGGAGCTGTGGCCTGCAAATTCGAGCCCAGTGTCCAGTGGCACACCAGGACCCCACCTTGGGCACGGGTGGAAAACCAGGAAAACCTAACTTAGGGATCATCTGCCCCGCAGAGCAAAAAAAAAAAAAAGTGCCCCTTACCGGAGCCTTGGCTTCATAGGCCCCTGGTCAGTACTCTCACTCTGGTATTTGATGTGCTGTAAGCCCGTGTCCTCTGCTTCCCGAGAGTCCCTGAGCACGGAACTTTTCTCTGATTCTTTGCCTCCCGCTTACGGTTACTACCACGGCGACGGTAGAAAGGAACAGAGCCAGGGCACCGTGCTCTAGGCGCAAAAGTGGTAGTCACCGGGTATCCACCCTGTGGGAGGAATGCGGGAGGGATTGGCCCCTTTGTGTGCGCGGAAAGGATGGGATGAGCTTTCCAAGAAGTCGGAAAATGGTCCAGGATCATTTCTGCTGGACAGGTCTTTTCAACCTCTCTCTCCTGCTCCCCTCCCCCCAGGCCCTGGTAGGTCTTAACGCAGTCAGCGAGGTTCTTTGTACCCGTTGCACTGGGCAGCTGGAGCTTGGAATGGGGTTTTGCTACCGCCACCAGAGGGTTGTGGCTGCCGCAGGTCCATTTCCAGGCACAGCGGGGAAGACCGGAACGCGGTCCGCGAGCTCAGCCCCAGCGCACTGGTGGCCCGCCACTGGAGAGCGCCTCCCCAGCAAGCTTCCTAGCACAGGGGCCAAATGGCATTTGCCCCTATGTGGATAGAAAATTAATTTTGATTAAAAGCTCACAGAGGTCAGGTTCTATACAGTGCCAGCAGCAGATGGAAAGTGTAAGTGATCCAAGTGAGGTCAGTTTGGTTGAAGTGGCATGGTGATTTTTTTTTTTCCTACATTGGCTTTTGAAGAAGCTGGCTGGTTTTGGCAAAATGATGCTGGGCTGCCATTCTAAAAGAAAATATTTGGTAGTGCTGCCACCGCCGCCTCGCAGAGCATGCAAGGATCCATTGCCTGCGGGCTCCAGTTGGCAGTGCAGTGCTTTAACTCTCCCCTGAGCACCTGCTGTGACATTATAGATACAGAACCAAACCCTGTTCTTATTTTGTGGGGGCACAGCACGGAGCCCATGGCCATTGGGGGGCAACCACAGGGCGGTATTGTGAGGTCTGGGCCCCTTGAGGACGGGCTGCAGCCCCAGGAGGCGATACATGATCTCTGCTGGGCAGGGCCCAGGCAAAGCCAGTCCACTGTGCCAGACCTGCCCGAAGAGCCCTCTGGCCCAACTCCCTGACAAGCCCGGGGGAGATAACCCAAGAGCTTCCTGAAATGGTGATGTGGAGAGGAGTAGACTTCCATGGGTGGGCAGGGAGGAAAGGGCATTCACATTTGCTGTTGTTAACCATGATCCATTTTCCCAAATAAGTATACATTCTGTTCCTGTTTTTTTTTTTTTTTGTCTGTCTGTCTGTCTGTCTGTCTGTTTTTTGTCTGTTTGTCTGTTGTGTTGACTTTTCTCTTCAGGATCCGTGCTGCCTTGGTGATCCCGGGCTGACAGCCAGAGAGCACAGCGGCTCAGCTCCTGGAGAGTGAGGGTTGAAGAAAGCGGAGGGCAGCTGCCTGCGCCCCCTGGCTCCCATTAGGTCGGTTCCTGCAGCGGTGCCCGGTGGCCTTGGTGAAGGCCCTGCCCAGCAGAGATCATGTATTGCCTCCAGTGGCTGCTGCCCGTCCTTCTCATCCCCAAGCCCCTCAACCCCGCCCTGTGGTTCAGCCACTCCATGTTCATGGGCTTTTACCTGCTCAGCTTCCTCCTGGAGCGGAAGCCTTGCACAATCTGTGCCTTGGTTTTCCTGGCAGCCCTGTTCCTCATCTGCTATAGCTGCTGGGGAAACTGTTTCCTGTACCACTGCTCTGATTCCCCGCTTCCGGAATCGGCGCACGACCCCGGCGTTGTGGGCACCTAACAGCCTGCCCAGTTAGCTTTCCAAGGAAGCAGAAGATGGGAGGGGAGGCATTGACATAGGTCATAAAGCATTGGAGTTTCAAATCCCGCAGCCCCGCGGGTGCCACATTCCTGACGGCGCCTTTCTTGGCCTGTGATGTTTTATCCTTATAATGTGAATAATGGCACTGACCGGTGCTTTTATTGTAGAGTCCTATAGTCGTGGGTGGTCTTGTGATTGTGTGTGTTCTGTCCCCATCTCGGTCCCCCCACCCCTCCCACAGGCTGGCAGGATGGTCACTCCCCTCGCCTCATTCCTGCGAGGAGTCTGCGCCCATCCTGGTACACCGTCCCAGCATGACCTGGGCAGATAAGATGCCAGTCTCGTCACTTCTGTGACCCCTCCTTGTCAGGGTCTCTTACCGTACCAGAATGTTACCATCCCCTCAGTCCCTGTCCTGGTTTCCCTTTAGTTCTCTCCTACCCCTTTCCTTTTTGGGGGAGCACCTGTCCAAGACAGGGCTCATTTTTGCACTTATCTCGAATTTAAAGAGATTGCTGACGCCCGAGAGCCTCGCTTTTTCATCCTTCTTTCCCTGGTCAGCAGCCCAGACAGAAACGTGTCTTGACTGTTTGTTGTCCACAAATCTGCAGTATTTTCTCCACTTCATTTTTAAGAAAGAAGTAACATATCTGTTGCTCTTTCACCTGAGTGTCTGGGCTCACGCTTACCAGCCCAGCCTCACTTTCTTTGCCCTTCCTCCTGCCTTTCTCAATTGTCCCCAGGAGGGGGGGCCTCACCGTGTCTCCTGTGCATGCTCTGCAGGATTGAGGTGTGGTGTGTTCATGTAGATGTAGCAGTCCCAGAGTGAATGGAAGAGTACTCGGAAGAGTTTCATAACAGCCATGATCCCCTTGATAGGTGTTTGGATATTTTTGGTGTGCCGTGAGTGTGTGTGTGTGTGTGTGTGTGTGTGTGTGTGTGTGTGTGTGTATACAAATATATGTGTATATTCCTTTTAAAGAAGCTTTATCAAACGTGTTCTGATTTTGAGGTTTAGCAATAGCTAGCTATAGTAGGTGCTGCTACAGTTTTTATTTAGCATGGGGATTGCAGGGTGACCAGCTCACTGGACTCCGTGGTGGTTCAGACAAGACAGAGGGGAGCAGTGGCCATCGTCCTTGTGCCAGGAGTTCCTTCAGTCCTGCGCATATAGACTGTACGTTATGAAGAATACACAGGAAGACTTTGTGACTGTCACTCGCTTTTTGCTTCTTCTGCGCTTCAGTAACAAGTGTTGGCAAATGAGACTTTCTCCTGGCCCCTGCCCACTGGGGACCAGCAATGGTTGTCCGTCCAGTCTCAGTCACCCATCTTTCTCTTGCCTGAGTGGGAAGGGCGGTGGGCCAGGCAGAGGACAGAACTGGAGGCAGTCCATCTAGGGAATGGGACCGTGAGGCCACACTTGTGGAACATTTGGACTGCTATTCTGGAGCTTTTATTTTCGGTGTGTTCGTTGCACAGCTGTTTGAAATGTTTAATAAAGCTTTATAAACTTTACTTTGTGGTTTTATGTGGCTGCAGTCCATTTGGGTTGTGGTGTTGGATTTCTGAGTTGGTATGGGGCAGGGGGTAGCATGGAGGGGCTGAGTCCTTGGCGCCAGAGTACCTTAGCCCGAAAATTTGATCTGTTCTCTGGAGAGCAGATGGTGGGGTTGGGGGAGGGGAGGAGGGGGCAGGCCAGGCGGTGAACAGGAGGGAGTCTGAAAGTTTTTAGAGATGAGACATTTGTGTTTCTCAGCTCCCATGGCCTCTCGCCTGAAACTGTTTCCCTCCATAGGAGAGTTGAGTAACCGATCCCTTGACAAACAACTTAGGACAGCTGGAGCTCTAATCATCAAGGATTTTTATGGTGCTGCTTTTGAAGTAAAAATAAAGTGAAACCCCTTATGGCATTTCAAGTGGAAAAATAAATAAGAGTGGCCTCCAACCAGGGGGCTTAAGGTGATGGCTGGAAGTGCCAGAGTGTGGCGGGTCCCTGTTGTTGATGGGCACGTGCTCCTGTGGCTCTGACCTTTGAGACAAAGCAGGTAGCTTGTCAGGGACCTGGGCTGGGTGTCCACCTCTCAGTCTCTTTTCCTTCGAGAAAACCTAACTGGAATACTGCTCTCCAAAGCACAGTGCTGTTATAAGGGTTTCTGGAGATAACAGTTGCAAAAGGGCTTTGGTAATTTCATAGAAGGTCACATGTCTTATCTTGATTTTTAATTTATTGCCGTAAAGTTTTGTGTTATTTTCTCCTGCCCCTTTTAAATCTCCCCATTGTCAGTTTGTCCCCTTTCTCATTCCTAGCATTGTTGCTTGTCCATGCTTTCTCTTTCCTTGACCAAAACTTGCCAAGAGTTATCCATTTTAAAGGTATTTTCAAAGAACTGAACTTGTATTGATTATATCTGCTGAGTATTTTCTGCCTGATCTTTTTGTGCTTTTACCTCTGAATTCTTCTTTTCTGGGTTTCTGGATATATTTCGTGGTTCAGCAAAGTCTTGACAAGCTGAAAAGTCCTACCCGTGGAAAGGAGAGTTTATTCAGCAAACATTGAGCCCCTGTACGAGGCTTGCTGGGGATTTCAGGGGCAAGACCCAGGCCTGACCCTCCAGGAGCGCATGATTCTAGCCTAGTGGGGAAGACTTAAGAAAATAGACAATTGCAAATTCCAAAAACAAAACAAGCAAACAAAAAAGGCTTTTGTGGCCCCACTCTCCTGTGGAGGCACCTGGATGATAAATGAAGCCAAGATTATTGTTTATTTTGCTCTCCCTCAGAAAGCAGCTTTCTGTCGTAGGTCAAGCCTGCTTAAGTGTTACAAACAGGCCTCCTTCTGAAAGATGTGTGGCACTTTCCAGCAGGGAGCCCGCAGCCCACTCCCCCCGCCCCCCACAAGGTGACTGCCAAATCAGCATTCCGTCTGCCCCGCAGTGCGCAGTGCGGTGCGGCTTTCCACCTTGACCCTGCCTCCTCTTCCTGAAACACCTTTCAGGAAAGTGAAAAGTAGATACCTCTTCTGGAAAAAAGCAGGGGCACCGGGCCTTAGAAAATCACGCTCTGCAATCCCTCTGGTTGCTGTGGCTTCCAGTATGAGACGGTTGCTCACGGGGTACCTGCTAACCGCAGACCCCACGAGGCCTTGGGC